CATTGCGTCGGCCGGGAATCGAACCCGGATCAACTGCTTGGAAGGCAGCTATGCTAACCATTATACCACCGACGCTGATTGACAAATACTATTGTGAAATGTTTCAAAATTGATTGACACACATAAGGGGGCGGGTCCAAAACCTGATAGGGTCAAGTATTAACCCCACCCACATAATATTGCACCTCTATTTTTTTATCCTTCTATTTTTTTATCCTTCTTGTTTCATTATTTGCGCTGTAACTATTTGAAACTTCGAAGAGAGATCCAATGAAGTCAATGGTATATCCTACAACAGCTGAGGATTCTTCTGTAGGGGGTAGGGGACGTAGGCTATATACAAAAGTATAGAGGAGACCAACTTATCTTCATTAAAAAAGTGTTTTTTTAAAGAAAATTAGTGTTACTAAAACAAGGAATACTCCATTRTACAAAATCGTTTACACTCTACCTTGCYATAGTAAACGCGCCTCTTTCTTWACAGCACCACTCTAATAAAGCGATTATTTAACATCCAAGCGTCGGTGGTATAATGGTCAGCATAGCTGCCTTCCAAGCAGTTGATCCGGGTTCGATTCCCGGCCGACGCATCGACGCATGACATTTTTTAAATCTTCATTTGAAGTTTTTATTTTTCCTCATTCTAGTGAATTAATTGTGATCGTCATCATATTTCTCCAAATCAGGAGCTACATATTATCAATTTTTCTTCGATTTAAATCACAGATAACGACTTCAGCCGAAGAYAAGGCAGGAGGAATTTATAGAAGAATGCCATTAAAGAGTCTAATCAAACTTGTACCTGGAGTAAGTATGCGTCAAAATTGTTCGCACGTGTATACTACCACTTGCGTCCACTCTTTCTTGTATTGAAACAATATTGAACTTTCCATTTGTTCTTCCTGTGAATTCTCCCTCATTCCATTCTTTCTTTAAATTCGATTTATGAATTGACTTGTTGGTCTGATTTTCACTTTTTACTTCAAAGTTTCCTTGGCTTTCCCACATGCGACACATTTTTAAGGAGGCTCACGTGACCTATACTGACGTCGTCTTGGCAACATCCACAAATTACCTTCGTGAAATGTCCAAAATTATCAAGAATACTTCGAAAGAGTAAGTGGATGATCGAATTTCAGAAACATTTCGTAGATTTTTCATAGATCTTTCAGATGTTGTTGTTGTGCTTTCTTATAAAAAAGGGAAAGCTATACGGTCAGAATATTATTTTTGCTAACACTGTTTTTACCAGGTTGATTGACATTGYTTTGAGATTAGAATCCAGCCCCATCCTCGGGTACCCAGGGGTTATCTTCTGTCCTAATTTGTTCCTCCCCCCAGAAAAAAAAATATTATGCGTCGGCCGGGAATCGAACCCGRATCAACTGCTTGGAAGGCAGCTATGCTGACCATTATACCACCGACGCTGCGATGAATTGTCAATGCCTCATTTGAAGGTTACTGTAAATAAAGGGGYGTTACTAAATGATTTTGTATAATGCAATATATTCTTGTTTTTTTCCTGGGAGTGAGAAGCGAACGACAGCAGATAACCAATGATGAATCCAACCCTTGGTCACAAAAATATATTACGCGCCCGACAACAACTTGTCAGATTCTTGTGCCCTACATTACCTCTTTTGTGTATGCCGGTTGTAATTTCTGTAGAATTACTTAATTTAATGTTTCTCTTTCTATTCAGGTTACTGTCAAACTACGTGGTTTGGCAGATGATTCGAGATAAAATAAGCCTATTGTCAGAGCCTTTTCGTCAAGCTAGAGCTGATTTCAATCGTAAGATATCCGGCGTCCGYGACTCCGATCCAAGATGGCGGACTTGTACYAGTATCACAAATGACAACCTTGGAGTGCCACTTGGGACGTTGTACATAAAGAATTATTTTAACGAGACGACTGTATCCAAGGTCTGTAAAGCACTGTTGTAAAATTTAACTTTTAAAACTTTTTGATTTAAGAAACATCGCTCGAAATGAGACTCAATACAATGTGATTTTTTCTTCCTGGATTTCACAGATTCAAAACATGATTGAAGAAATAAAAGATATCTTTAAGGACAGAGTCAAAGCACACAATTGGATAGATGATAAAACAACGCAATATGTGTTTCAAAAGGTAACGGGAAACTCAATGCCCTCCTTTCCCTCTTTACATCCGAGTTGCCCCATCGTTAAATGCAAGCCTTCTAAGGTCTTAACCACAATGTATTCAGACCTCTATTACCCTGGAAATGTCCGGGTTGTTATGACTGAATGAAACAAGAATTAAGCAATCTTTTCATGCATTTTTCTCTTGCAATCAGGCAGACGCCCTAAGAAGCAAGATAGGATACGCAGATTACGTTCTAAGACCAATAGTGCTGAAAAAGAGGTTTGGCGATGTAAGTCATTCTGCAAACACAAGTTTATTCGGTACTGAATCATTGTCTTGCATGCGACTGAACCGTTTTTATCCCGTAGCTTACCATCAAAAAGGAATCGTTTTTCAAGAACAATGTSAATGTAGATCGATGGGTTCGAGACAGACTGAACAAGAAACTGCGCAAACTCGTGGATAAGCAAAAGTAAGAAAAGAGAGTTTTCTGTAATATTAAACACGTTTGCGATGGATTAATATTTTGATTGCCTTTTTCCAGATGGCCAATGTTTCCACAGACCATCAACGCCATGTATCAATTCTATGAAAACGAGATAGGTATGGCGTAAAGGCTGTAAGAAACTTATGTTATTTGTATAACTTAGTCATTGCGCATGCTCTTTGAAGATTTCCGAACCAGGCTTAGAGGCCCTTCATTTCACTAACAAAACGTCAGAAAAAGAAAGAGAGAGAAAGAAAGGGAGAAAGAAAGAAAAGTCATACAGGATGTAATGCTTCACTCACGAAACATAACTTTTGATTACAGTAATTCCAGCGGGAATCCTCCAAGCGCCATTTTACTATACTGGAGAAGTACCAAAGTAAGAATACTAGATAGATGACGTAGTCAATGATCGGCACATGTTACGTGATTACATTGCAATGTTTTGATTGGTTTATTAGGTCTCTTAGCTATGGCGCTATTGGTTCRATCATTGGTCACGAGATGACGCATGGATTTGACAACACAGGTAAACCAAGTCAATCGTACAGCCAAAAAAAACCCTGCATTTTATCAGTGACGACAACCGCCGCTTTAATCATTTAATTTTACACATTTTGACCTGACTGTTGGTCGTTGAAATCTGATGGCTAAAAGCTTGCGATTAATTCCTTAATTAAAATCGTAGAAATCCAAACGTACAAATTGTAAACTTAAGGAATTGAAAAGGTCCAATCTGGGGGACGAAACTAGTTTCCATTAAAATAAAGTTTCTTGGCGTGACTGTGTGTTAAAGACTTCACGTATTGGGTTTAATCCTGTCCAGCATTATGAAATTCCTTAATTGTCCGGCTATTTCCAGGACGAAAGTTCGACAAGAATGGCGACATCGTYAAAGAATGGTGGAGTGCTTCGGCACTGAAACATTTTAGCGAACGAGCACAGTGCATTGAAGAGCAATATTCCAAGTATAAAATACAAGGAAAATACCCCGTAAGTATTATACCCCGGTACACTTCACCCTACTGTTCAAATACCCTAGTTCAAATATCCCGATAAAGATAAATGCAGATCTCTTAATCAAGAAATAAATTGTTGTTTTCTCTTTGTAGTTGAGCGGTATAGTGACACTGGGTGAGAATATTGCTGACAATGGAGGAACAAAGCTTGCTTACCATGTAAGTATCCCAGAAGATATTGAGAAAGATTCCTTTTACGAACAAGTTTTATCGGGAGGGTTGAGCTCTTTGCCCATCTTAGTCTTAACATTTGCACACGAAATTCTTTTCTCAATCMGTAGAAGAGTTTTTCACTATATACGGCTGTTGAATTACATAATATTACCTAAATAAAGACCAACTTAGAAGACCTGTGATTCATTGCATTGGTAAACATTTTTTTAATCCAAAGGCCTATCACAAGTGGCTGAGAGAAAATGGCGGACAAGAGGCACAACTTCCCAACCTTGACTATAACAGTGAACAGCTGTTCTTTATAGGATATGCACAGGTACGCCTATAGAAGGCTCATACACCGATTAGCATTAATACAATCAAACAATGATGCAATAATAACACTTTGATTTCTGCTGTGTAGGAATACTGCAGCCACGCACGACCTAAGACCGAGTACATTGCCAGTCTAAGCGAGATCCATTCGCCTCCAAAATACAGGTAAGTGTAGTTCACAGTGGTAATTATCTTGTRTCAAAGTTTATCCTATTGTTCCGTTTCCATTCTTTTGTTCCCGGTGCCGCAACACCTATTTTGACCAAATTTTCATTTTTTCGTTTTCTTGTTTTATATAGGGTGATTGGAACACTTTCCAATATTAAGGAATTCTCTGACGCATTCAAATGCCCCAAGGGCAGCAACATGAACCCAGAAAAGAAGTGTGAAGTATGGTGACGATGTTGTTATAGTGACAACACAAGAAAACTAATCCGCAAATAACGGAAAAATACTCGCGAAATCAACGCGAAATAGTCGAAATCGACTTCGACTAGCCAAGATGTCTCTCACGTACGCCGCGGTTCTCATTGCGCGGTTTTATACCATAACAACGAACCTTGRAAATTTTATTTATTCYAGAGATGTGTTTTTGMAWWTTTTTTTACAATTACTGTTTATACTGATTTTTTGAAACATTTTTTTGCCRACCCCAAAGCAATGGTTTCGGGCCATAACGCAAGAAAGATAGTTTTGATTACAAACGATGAACTATATATATTTCTTTCACATTCTCTGGAAATTTCTAACTGTTTTTCTTTGTTTTTTTTTTTATGTTTCACGGTTCCTGACGCCGTGCAAAGTAGATTAAATAATCAGTACAATAGAGGTTATTAAGCAATGCAGGTCATTGCAATCAGTTCAATC